AAGACATCAGGCCAGTGGGAACAAGACATCAGGCCAGTGGGAACAAGACATCAGGCCAACAGGAACAAGACATCAGGCCAGTGGGAACAAGACATCAGGCCAGTGGGAACAAGACATCAGGCCAGTGGGAACAAGACATCAGGCCAGTGGGAACAAGACATCAGGCCAGTGGGAACAAGACAGGCCAACAGGAACAAGACATCAGGCCAGTGGGAACAAGACATCAGGCCAGTGGGAACAAGACATCAGGCCAGTGGGAACAAGACATCAGGCCAACAGGAACAAGACATCAGGCCAGTGGGAACAAGACATCAGGCCAACAGGAACAAGACATCAGGCCAACAGGAACAAGACATCAGGCCAGTGGGAACAAGACATCAGGCCAGTGGGAACAAGACATCAGGCCAGTGGGAACAAGACATCAGGCCAGTGGGAACAAGACATCAGGCCAGTGGGAACAAGACATCAGGCCAGTGGGAACAATACATCAGGCCAGTGGGAACAAGACATCAGGCCAACAGGAACAAGACATCAGGCCAACAGGAACAAGACATCAGGCCAACAGGAACAAGACATCAGGCCAGTGGGAACAAGACATCAGGCCAACAGGAACAAGACATCAGGCCAACAGGAACAAGACATCAGGCCAGTGGGAACAAGACATCAGGCCAGTGGGAACAAGACATCAGGCCAGTGGGAACAAGACATCAGGCCAGTGGGAACAAGACATCAGGCCAGTGGGAACAAGACATCAGGCCAACAGGAACAAGACATCAGGCCAACAGGAACAAGACATCAGGCCAACAGGAACAAGACATCAGGCCAACAGGAACAAGACATCAGGCCAACAGGAACAAGACATCAGGCCAGTGGGAACAAGACATCAGGCCAGTGGGAACAAGACATCAGGCCAGTGGGAACAAGACATCAGGCCAGTGGGAACAAGACATCAGGCCAGTGGGAACAAGACATCAGGCCAGTGGGAACAAGACATCAGGCCAACAGGAACAAGACATCAGGCCAGTGGGAACAAGACATCAGGCCAACAGGAACAAGACATCAGGCCAGTGGGAACAAGACATCAGGCCAACAGGAACAAGACATCAGGCCAGTGGGAACAAGACATCAGGCCAGTGGGAACAAGACATCAGGCCAGTGGGAACAAGACATCAGGCCAGTGGGAACAAGACATCAGGCCAGTGGGAACAAGACATCAGGCCAGTGGGAACAAGACATCAGGCCAGTGGGAACAAGACATCAGGCCAACAGGAGCAAGACATCAGACCAGTGGGAACAAGACATCAGACCAGTGGGAACAAGACATCAGGCCAACAGGAACAAGACATCAGGCCAGTGGGAACAAGACATCAGGCCAGTGGGAACAAGACATCAGGCCAGTGGGAACAAGACATCAGGCCAACAGGAACAAGACATCAGGCCAGTGGGAACAAGACATCAGGCCAGTGGGAACAAGACATCAGGCCAACAGGAACAAGACATCAGGCCAGTGGGAACAAGACATCAGGCCAACAGGAACAAGACATCAGGCCAGTGGGAACAAGACATCAGGCCAACAGGAACAAGACATCAGGCCAGTGGGAACAAGACATCAGGCCAACAGGAACAAGACATCAGGCCAGTGGGAACAAGACATCAGGCCAGTGGGAACAAGACATCAGGCCAGTGGGAACAAGACATCAGGCCAACAGGAACAAGACATCAGGCCAGTGGGAACAAGACATCAGGCCAGTGGGAACAAGACATCAGGCCAGTGGGAACAAGACAGGCCAACAGGAACAAGACATCAGGCCAGTGGGAACAAGACATCAGGCCAGTGGGAACAAGACATCAGGCCAACGGGAACAAGACATCAGGCCAGTGGGAACAAGACATCAGGCCAGTGGGAACAAGACATCAGGCCAGTGGGAACAAGACATCAGGCCAACAGGAACAAGACATCAGGCCAGTGGGAACAAGACATCAGGCCAACAGGAACAAGACATCAGGCCAGTGGGAACAAGACATCAGGCCAGTGGGAACAAGACATCAGGCCAGTGGGAACAAGACATCAGGCCAGTGGGAATAAGACATCAGGCCAGTGGGAACAAGACATCAGGCCAGTGGGAACAAGACATCAGGCCAGTGGGAACAAGACATCAGGCCAACAGGAACAAGACATCAGGCCAGTGGGAACAAGACATCAGGCCAGTGGGAACAAGACATCAGGCCAGTGGGAACAAGACATCAGGCCAGTGGGAACAAGACATCAGGCCAACAGGAACAAGACATCAGGCCAGTGGGAACAAGACATCAGGCCAGTGGGAACAAGACATCAGGCCAGTGGGAACAAGACATCAGGCCAACAGGAACAAGACATCAGACCAACAGGAACAAGACATCAGGCCAACAGGAACAAGACATCAGACCAGTGGGAACAAGACATCAGGCCAGTGGGAACAAGACATCAGGCCAGTGGGAACAAGACATCAGGCCAACAGGAACAAGACATCAGGCCAACAGGAACAAGACATCAGGCCAGTGGGAACAAGACATCAGGCCAACAGGAACAAGACATCAGACAAGTGGGAACAAGACATCAGGCCAGTGGGAACAAGACATCAGGCCAGTGGGAACAAGACATCAGGCCAGTGGGAACAAGACATCATGCCAACAGGAACAAGACATCAGGCCAACAGGAACAAGACATCAGGCCAACAGGAACAAGACATCAGGCCAGTGGGAACAAGACATCAGGCCAACAGGAACAAGACATCAGACCAGTGGGAACAAGACATCAGGCCAGTGGGAACAAGACATCAGGCCAGTGGGAACAAGACATCAGGCCAACAGGAACAAGACATCATGCCAACAGGAACAAGACATCAGACCAGTGGGAACAAGACATCAGGCCAACAGGAACAAGACATCAGGCCAACAGGAACAAGACATCAGGCCAGTGGGAACAAGACATCAGGCCAGTGGGAACAAGACATCAGGCCAACAGGAACAAGACATCAGGCCAGTGGGAACAAGACATCAGGCCAACAGGAGCAAGACATCAGACCAGTGGGAACAAGACATCAGGCCAGTGGGAACAAGACATCAGGCCAACAGGAACAAGACATCAGGCCAGTGGGAACAAGACATCAGGCCAGTGGGAACAAGACATCAGGCCAACAGGAACAAGACATCAGGCCAACAGGAACAAGACATCAGGCCAACGGGAACAAGACATCAGGCCAACAGGAACAAGACATCAGGCCAACAGGAACAAGACATCAGGCCAGTGGGAACAAGACATCAGGCCAACAGGAACAAGACATCAGGCCAACAGGAACAAGACATCAGGCCAACAGGAACAAGACATCAGGCCAACAGGAACAAGACATCAGGCCAGTGGGAACAAGACATCAGGCCAACAGGAACAAGACATCAGGCCAGTGGGAACAAGACATCAGGCCAACAGGAACAAGACATCAGGCCAGTGGGAACAAGACATCAGGCCAGTGGGAACAAGACATCAGGCCAGTGGGAACAAGACATCAGGCCAGTGGGAACAAGACATCAGGCCAGTGGGAACAAGACATCAGGCCAGTGGGAACAAGACATCAGGCCAGTGGGAACAAGACATCAGGCCAACAGGAACAAGACATCAGGCCAGTGGGAACAAGACATCAGGCCAGTGGGAACAAGACATCAGGCCAGTGGGAACAAGACATCAGGCCAGTGGGAACAAGACATCAGGCCAACAGGAACAAGACATCAGGCCAGTGGGAACAAGACATCAGGCCAGTGGGAACAAGACATCAGGCCAGTGGGAACAAGACATCAGGCCAGTGGGAACAAGACATCAGGCCAACAGGAACAAGACATCAGGCCAGCGGGAACAAGACATCAGGCCAGTGGGAACAAGACATCAGGCCAACAGGAACAAGACATCAGGCCAGTGGGAACAAGACATCAGGCCAACAGGAACAAGACATCAGGCCAGTGGGAACAAGACATCAGGCCAGTGGGAACAAGACATCAGGCCAGTGGGAACAAGACATCAGGCCAGTGGGAACAAGACATCAGGCCAGTGGGAACAAGACATCAGGCCAGTGGGAACAAGACATCAGGCCAACAGGAACAAGACATCAGACCAGTGGGAACAAGACATCAGGCCAGTGGGAACAAGACATCAGACCAGTGGGAACAAGACATCAGGCCAGTGGGAACAATACATCAGGCCAGTGGGAACAAGACATCAGGCCAGTGGGAACAAGACATCAGGCCAACAGGAACAAGACATCAGGCCAACGGGAACAAGACATCAGGCCAACAGGAACAAGACATCAGGCCAACAGGAATTGGATATTGGGCCAAAAGGATCAAGACATCAGGCCAACAGAACAAGACATCAAGCAAACAGGAATTGGATATCAGGCCAGTGGGAATAAGACATTAGGCCATGTAGACCTCTTTGATGTATCACAGAAACAGATTTAGCTTGACAGATATAGTGGCCCATCTTAGTGTCCAGACCTAGACATTGCACCCATCTTCATCCTCCCAAGCTTTTCAACTGCAACACAAGAGCCCCCTCCCATTTTTTTCCTGTCTCTACGGTTACGTACACCTGGTAGCTGTCGTAGGATGACCAGAGAGGGGTAGGGAACAATGAGCTCATACCTGGTTGCTAGTTGGATACGACATACTAATTAAGTGCAACAGAACTGTAGCAAAATTGAAATTAGGTTAGGCAGGTGGTGGAAAGACAAAGAAGAAAACATGCTTCTTATTAATCTTATACATCCAACTCATATTCTTTATTCAAAAAGAAAAATGGGATACCCGACAACATTATGGTTTATGCAAAAGTCAAATAATCTCAAAGTTTAGTTACTCTGTTTTTACTCAAGGCTAACATGTTTTACTAGGTTAAAATTAAAAGAATAAAAAATTGAACTTGTAATGATATCTTTGTTGAAAAATTGTTTCTGATCCTAGAAATTTCTTACCATTTCCACGACATACACAAGACTCCAACTGTTTCTGCTTTTCGATAGATGTCATCTCACAAAAACTTCTGCACTTACCACCGTAGCAGTGTCCCCTACACGACAGAAGAAGACTAATCAGCATAATGGCCTAAAATCCCTAGAACACTTATTATCTTTGATATCAAAGTGTTTACTTTTTATTTTTAATAATTTCAAATGCTAATTTAAAACATTGAACTGTTTATACATATTTTAATTCCAACATAAAATTTAGAAGAATTCTGATATTTTTAGTTGTGCAGACTACAAGATGTTTTTAAATCTGTAAATAGCTGTGTTTTATAATGTTCAGCACATATTCTGACACCAGAAGATTTTAACCTTTGATAGCATGAATTTTCTTCTTCTTTCTGGTTCTTTGTTCTTAATTTTAGTGTTGGAAGAGATCCCCCTCAAACACAATTAAGGATACATGTCAACTGGTTATGCGTCATTGAGGCCATTGACTACAATTTCAGCCTGCTTTTCTTTTTGATTTGCTTCCATAGCCTTGAACAAACTACAAGGCAGCAGTTGTTTGATTTAGGAGTCTCTCCTAGAAGAGTGGCTGTCCCCAGCTAATGAGCCTCATCTGCCCGAGGGTTTGAACTTGAGGCTTTTCGGTTTAGCAACCATGAGCTTTACAGACTCGACCACATCGACCCCTTATAATTAATACCAATAGCATAGACAATATTGATCAGGGTAGGTGGAGTAAGATTTTTAAATCTGGTGTTTTCACACAACAAAGATTGGCTTTCAAGTGTTAGCATTGGCAACAATTTTGCTGCAGCTGGGTTCTGCAGGTTATTTGTTTAGTATGAGAACCGATTGAAATTTTTTTTTAAATGGAGAGAATCATTAAAGAATTTGAGAAATATTTTCTGAGCTGTACATTTTACTGCATTCTGGGTGAAAAATGACAGAGAAAGAAGGTTATTTTTATTATTTTCTTAAACAGATTTTTTTTAGAATAATTGGGACATTTTTCATTTAACTAAAACAAAACCAACTCAAAGCCAGGTTTTGTGTGATGCTGTGTGTGAACAGTACATTACTGAATAGTATCTTATAACTGTATTATATATTTAGTAACGTTTGGTCTCCTTACAATGGCAGGTAATGACTTTCCAAATAATCTGATTTCATGAAAATACAACAAAAAACATGCTCACCCATCCACACACGTTGAATTATCGGGTAAAAACTCAGGATCAGCACAAACATGTTCAGTGCCTCTGAATTTTCAGTTAATAGAATGCAAACTATTCATTTTGGTATACCAGGATAAATCAAAGATAGAAGTAGAAAAAATAATGTTTCTAAGTAGTAATATAGTTTATGTAGCTTATAAACAATTCGTTTTTTTAACCGCTTACCACTAAAGCTACCGACGACATCTATTAAAATAATGATAAATCAGATAAAATCTAAATCAGTAGACTGCAATCTGCAATTTTTGCCCACCCACAAGGTAAATACCTCAATATATACATTAACATATTTTTATTTTCTTGTTGCAATCTTGTCCTACACACCAGAGTAATAAAACATTTTATAAGGATTTCATCAACACTATCAATTGTGTATTTTTATACATGTGACCTTGTTTTCTAACTTAAATGTTATTTAAATGTATACAAGGTCAGCGCTATATTTATTGGATCTTAGCTATTAGGGCGCGGGTTTGCCTATATGGCCACCAGGATGCACTGTTAATGATGCCTGATTTGATATTCTCAATGATTATAGTAACCCAATTGATAATGCTCATGGGGGAGCCCAGGGTTTATTTTTTCAATTGAATTTAGTACCCCCGTACAGGACGCCTAACCAATGAATCCCAGGTGCTAAGATAGCAGACAGGGAACTCTAAGCACCAAACCACACCCTACTACTGGGGTGCCGCTCCTCTTCTTCTGCGTTCTTAATTTTAGCGTTGAAAGAGATTCCCTCCAACAAAATTGAGTATAGGTGTCAACTTGTTAATCACCATATAGGCAGTTAATTATAACATGCTTTTCTTTTGGTATTTGCTTCCATAGCCTTTGTCCAACCAAGAACAAACTAGAAGGTAGCAGTTTTTTTATTTTGGAGTTGTCTCTCCTAGAAGAGTTTCTGTCTCCAGCTGTGGAGCCTCATCTGCCAGAGACTTTTTCGTTTTAGCAACCATGAGCTTTACCTACTCAACCACGCCCACCTATGTGCCACCCCTCAAAGTTTCTTTTATGTTTATTGCAGAAACCCTCACACAAATATTCTCAATAACTTCCCAAAATTTCATGGTGTAGTAATACATTAAAGGCCCACAGACAAACTTTCGTTTTTTAATGTATAATATATATGTATGTATTTACATGTAGTAGCTCTATTTGTGTAAGTGGTGCATACCAGTGCTTTGCTACAGTGTGAAGCCATTTACTTTTTGGAGGACAGAAAAGAAAGGCACAAAACACATTTCTTGTGCAAGAAATTAAGGGGTAGGGAATAAAAGAAGATCAATAGTACACTGCTCAACAACCAACATAATACCATGAGCCCCAGCCCACCTTGCTGCCAACACCCCACATACCAAACCTCATCCTACAATCCATACGCAATCACTCCCCACGCCATGACCCCCCCATACTCCACACCTGAACCAAACCTGTGGAGGACGCACTATTATTCATTAACTATGTCTGTTGATCTACCTACTTATCTAAAATACATTCATGTTATGGAGAAGTCAAAGCAAAATTACAATTGATGAAAGCACCTAAGTGAAAAGAGTTCTATTTTTAAGAATAAACTTAATAGAGTGCTAAAAAGGATACACACAGTATGCTTCATTTTTACACTCGTTAGGTAAAGCCGCAGCACACACTGTACCTGTTATTGCAATAGTGCAATTAGAACAACAGACTGTATTGAAGTCACTGAAATAAAAAATATATTTTGAAAAAAAAAAACCATAAGTTTTATTAATGTGAGTGGCTGGGGTGTTATTTATTAATTTCTTAATTATTATCATCATCTTTTAAGGTAGGATTTAAAGCGAATATGGCTTTTAGTTCCCCATAGAGGGCAGTTGTTGTTTAATTAAGTAGTATAGTACTATGGCAGCATAATATTTTTACATTTTAACTTTGTTAAGAGCTTAAAATTATTAATGTCGAGCTTATTATATTGAATGGTCTCAAAAAATATTTTGCATTGTATTGTTGGGGACTAGTTCCTATGGGTAACGTGTGTACTTTGTCCGAGTGACAAAATTTGAATGCCTTTCTTTTTGAGTATGTTTTTGGCCCAGACTTTCTGAGGAAAAGTTAAGGTTTGTGAAAGGCGGTAGAAATTTGCTGTCTTATAATACTATTTTTCTTGTTGCCATATCTGACTAGGTGTTTAGTTAATATATTCTGTTTAGTTCATGTTTTATTACCCTTAAATTTATGTATTAGGTTTTTTAAAATAAGATTTTAGTGAATTGTTTTGACATTTTAAAAAAGTTGGTTCCACAATTTCATTTCAATAAAGTTATAATTAGCTAATGACCTTGTTTTATTTAGATTAAGGTTAGGTTTTTAACCACAGTGGGGTATCCACAGTTGGACTGATGCCCAATAATGCATAGTCTCTGCAGGTAGATTAGGTTACACCCCCACCTCATGTCAGGGCTTAAATAAATTAGTTCTGCTTTAAAAAGGTACCTGCAAGTAGCTGTTGGCTTAAGCTTACAATCTGGTGTGCAGCATTTATCCGCACCAATTTTACTGTTTGTGCCAGCATCACACTCCTCTTCTGGATCAACAACTCCGTTACCACAAAATGCAGTATGTAGACTTCTATCTGTAAGAAACAGCAAAAAAAGAAATATATGGACTGAAAATTTCAAAATGAATTAAAAAAATATTTTAAAACATGTCACAAAATATATAAAGAAACAGTCACAATGTATCCTATCAAAATATTACAGTAGAAGGTGTATCTGGGTTAGAGAACTGAAGTATGGAAAACCAAAAGGCTAACCATATTTCTTTGATAAAAACAAATCACTATGCATATTGAGCACACTGGGTAATGCTATCTTAAACTGTTTTAATTCTTGTAAAGACAAATGGTGGAAACATTACATACTATGTTTCTTAATGAGTATTTGTGTTTGATTCCTGGTCTTAAAATTAGATAGAGACAAAACATCACAAAACTATCAAACCCAATGATTTAAAATCCAATTAATACATATTTTAAAAACAAGATTACTAATTTTTTTTTTCATGTTGGAATTCATTGAGTGTTCTGAACCTTCATAAAAAAGTTAATTAAAATCTTTAATACATACGGTGGAAGCAGCTTGCGTGATTAATTCCTCGACCAATCTGCTTCAAAGAGCAGGGAGAAAAAAGCTGCAGAAAAAATAATTGCTTGTTATGAAAGAAACAAGGAAGGCAAATTTTGTTGGGTTATAAGTATTTGTGAACAGTTTTTCTTGTTAAATTTATTTCTTGTATTAAGTAACATTTTTTTAACAGAAGGTACAAAAGGATGTTCTTAAATATTTATACAGGTATTATTAGTGAATGAAAGCTGCACTCTAGTTATTAAAAAGAGGTAACCAGGAATGACAAGTTTGCACTGTGGATAGAGGTTTATCTCAATGCAGTAAGAGGAAAACCCATTAAAAATAATGAAGCTGATGAGTGGATTATATTTACCCAATGATTAGGTTTGGTCCCTGATACAGAACTTGGCCACATGAGAAAATTACCTCCTTGCTCATCTGGTTTTGAGCATTCAGCTGTCTCTGGGTCATGGTTGCTTCCAAAATTGTGACCTAGAAATAAATGAATTAATAAAACAGTTTATAAACTGTTATAAAACCCACACATGTAAGATGGAGTGTAAAATGTTTTTGTGCAAAACATCCAGGGTTTAAATGTGTAGTCAACTTTTTATTTTTTAATGCTGGAAGGTAAACCTATGTTTTTAAATGTGAAAATAACTGCATCCAAAAACAAAATCAGTGCAAATAATACATTACTTTGAAACGTGCATGTCTAAAAACTGACATAGGTAAACAACTTTTACATTAAAAAAATTGATGTCTAAAGGAAAGCAAAAAAAAACAAAAAAACTATTGACATTGCAGAAAACATTTTTAGGTCAGAAAATTCAGAATTTAAAAGTCCTCTTTAAATAATACATCACTTTTTAACATTAGTAGATTATTGAAATTTTTTAATAACTAGTTGCAAATCGAGGAAGACAGGCACAAAAATAATTTATGTTCCATTAGAATATTCTGTTGTCTACATCAATTTTTAAGGAAAACTTAAAAATAAAAGCAAAAGTCACTTCTTAAATTCTAGTAAGGGTATTTAGTGCATGATATAATGACCCAAGCTGTTCTTTATAGTCATTTAAATAGTAGTTCATTATTATACACTTAAAGATAATAATTTATTTTCTCTTTTTTTTTAGTGCACTATTACATAAAAGCTTGTTATAAAAATGTTTTTTATGCTTTTTTAAACATTTCAATACAAATAGCAGTTTAAATTTAAAACAATGAAAAAAATATCTGTAAACACAATTAAAAACAAAATCAGCATTGAAGGTTTCACTGTAAACAAATATTTAATAAATAATAACAAAACGAAACAAATACGGTACTTATCTAGAGTACCTAATTCTGTAAATTAAATGGTAAACCTGTTTTTAAATGTGAAAATAATTGCATCCAAAAACAAAAAAAGAATAATTTTTTAAATCTAACAATGCCATGCGTCTTTAAATTATGTAATTTATTATACTTTAATATTTTGTTTATTATTTAACCATAAATAAGTGCCTTATGATTTAAAGTTGATTATTATATATATAATCATACATTTAACAATTTTTTAAAACTGAGTAACTTCTTTTAAAACCTTTCTATAAGCTTTACTAATTAATACAATAGTAATATTAGAAAAGCATGCATTGTAATAAGACTATTCTAACTGAAATACCATGTGCAAAGACTAGAGTCATCATTAATGAAGTGACCATTCCAGATCCAATATCCATCCCAGATGTGACACCAGCACTGTGTACAACTGTTCCTCTAGGACTTGCTAGTATAATAAAAATTTTTTGAGTTCTTATTTTTTTGTCTTTAAGAAAAACCAAACTGTATTAACAAAAAAAATCACATGATGATTATATTCAACTGTAAGTGTTCTTATTAATACATACAAATAAGGATAAGCTGTGCAAGTAATTAGGATAAAAAGCAATGACTATCTTAAAATTGATATTTTACTTCTGCATATTCCGTCCAAAAAAGCCAATCCCAAAACACGCTCAGGTAAGGCATAGTGGCTAAACAAATGGTTATGACAAAAGATATCTGGCTGATAAGTAAGGTGATACGCAAATGCCTGCAATTTATAAAAGTAATATATATATATAACATTCTGTTGTCTTTTATCTTTTAACATAAAATTTCCTATTACAACAATACATGTACAGCATTAGTAAAAAAACAACAACATACATCTAATCTTTCATTGATACCCCATTCAACATCGGGCGCATTAAAATGTTTGTATCTGAACTCCTCTTTCGATATTGTTGGTGTTGTGTATAGTACAATCTGCAAGAAATTTTTAAAGAAATATTATTTCTGATAGTTGTTTTATGTACATAGCCAGCAACACATTTTAAAACAAGAAGTTAAATGAGAATGTTAGAAACTATGGTCTACATGCAGTGATGTGTTTTAGAATTTATTTTTCAAAGCTAGTAACGATAACTTTCACCCAAGAAAACTAACCTTTCCAATTTGAATACCAACATTTGTATAAATTTCTTTGTTCCTTCCTTCAAATGGTGATTCTCTAAATAATTGGTCTGTAAAGTCAACCATACTAATCTACAAACAAAAATCTTCTTTTGTTAAAAAAATACCATAAAATAAAACATCATGTATATATATATATATATATATATATATATATATATATATATATATATATATATAAGCAGCATAAATTGGCGCTGCCCGGGTTGAAGGTAATATATAAAATTTTCAAAAAAAAAATTCTATAAACAAATATGGACGCTTAAGAAAATATACATAATCCTAACACAATCAACACACCTTAGCACCACACGTCATTACCTCCCGAAATAGAACCAGCTTATGATGATTATATATTTTTGAGCCTTGAGTTTTATTTGCTTCAAATTTAATGTGTATTAAATTCAGTCAGTCACATAATAGTTTGTAACACTTTGTTTAGTTAGTTTCAACGGGGCTGAAGTGGATTGTGGTTGTACTTCAATTTTAATGCGCATTGATTGTGTAGGTCAATGGCTGGGGCTGTATCCGCCAATGGGGCTGTTCCTTGGCGGATAAGTCGGCTCTACTTTCTATACACAATCATTGTAGTTTAATATCTTTTTGTTGTACTGACATTACTACTTACATATAAATTTAACCCTGTTGGGTACTATGTGCATGTTCTTGGTAAGACTGGGATTAGATATGTGATAAGAACTGATTTTGGTATTTTAGATTTAGTATGTAGCATTTCACGTGAGGCCTTAGTTATCCTTAAATAGTAGAAGTTAGTATTTGAACATCTTCTACCATGTAGGCATATATATATCTATATTTTTATTACATTTTTTCATGATTTTTAATTATCTTTCTTCCTACCATTCAGGATAAGTTTGTAACTTGGTTGGGTGGTTTTTTAGTTGATTTGCTTGTTTTGTGTTTTATTATGTTTGGTAGTTTTGTTGTTTGTTTGGTTGTTTTGTAGTTTGTTTGGTTGTTTTGTAGTTTGTTTGGTTGTTTTGTAGTTTGTTTGGTTGTTTTGTAGTTTGTTTGGTTATGTTTTTAGGTTTTTTTTTAGTGTTTAAGTGGGTAAAAAATGAATCAAATCAGTTATCCTTAAATGAATGACAAAGGCAGATAATTACCATAGCAGAGTAGCAAGTTTGGTAGTTTTTTTTACATCTATCACTAAATAAGCCGTAGTCACCAATGACATAAACAACACATGTATCAGCTCCACTTCTTTTTTGTCTTCTAGAACTAGATCTGGCTGTTAAGAAAACAAAATATTTAAAGATTTATTTTCATTTGAATTTTTTTTTACATTTTCATGAGAATGCTTCACAGAATAGCTGTAAAAGTTGTTTTGTTATATAATAAAAACAACTAAAAAATTAAATGAATAGTGAATGAGAACGGTGTATTAAAACTCACCATCTTCATTTAATAAGTTTTTATAAATAAAATGTACTTGAAATTTTTTTTTAAAGAAAAATGTATTTAAAAATACATGAATGCCCAGTTTGAAGAATAGTTATTTTAATTCTTAAAATTTTTACATACAAATGTAGATAATAAAGTTTTTCTCCCTTGCAATAGCTTGCTATCTAACTTTCCCAGACTTATTCAGTTACCAATCTGCGGTTATAGGTTTCTAAATGACTTAAACAGAGGACAAGTAATAATAGAACTATAATCATCAAATCTTATAGATCGCTGGGCTGTGCTCATACTAAAATATAAACATTTTATAAATATAATATTATAGATGGCCATTTCAACATTAGTCCAATGCCATAAATGGGGTGCCAAAGTCATGATGTAACAGAAAAGTAGGCAGTCCTCTATATAGCTTTAGTCCAGCAGTAACAAATACAAAATAAAAAGTTTTATATCCTTTATATTATACGAGCCGACCCGCAGCGTATCATACACCACTATTTAGTTGTTTTATTTTCTACTTTTCAGTAATTCATAATTTGTGAATTTGACAGTACCAATGCTGCCACTGAAAATATTTGCTTTAAAACACTAACACCCCCCCCCCCCCGTGAAAGCAGCCTCCTCTTAGTTATTTCTTAGTTACCTCCTGTAAGTTTAAAATCGAACTAAATTATCTGCCCCTAATAGAAACCCGGCTCTACGATTTGTAAACATTTAGCTTTGTAAACATTTAGCGTGACCACAGCTCACCAGACAATGTGGGGGTGGGGTGGGGGGTGGTAGTGATAGAGAGAAAGAGAGGTGACTGCAAGGAGGCGCTTGCAGCTTGTTTTCTAACGGCTCCCAGAAGAGAATTATATATATAGATAATGACTTACTTGTAAAATTTTCACTCCTCCTTGCCTTGTGTTTTGCATCTACTGCTCCACTGAAGAAATAAGAAACCACTTAAAACAATGCTTGTAAACCTTTAAAAAGCCATTGAATTACAAGTTCAAGTCAGTAGAAAGTTTTTGAGTCCACCCAGCTCTGATGTCAAGTCAAGGAAAGTAAAGGCAGCTGACCATATTATTCTTTGATAGGCAGAGGTCACAGAAATTGTTGAACTCAACCTCTACTTAACTTTCTCCAATGACAGTAAGATTCGAAAAGGAACATTACATATATAAAGTGAGTTTAACAAAAGATAAAATAAAAAAATAAAGTAAATTTAAAAAAAAAATTCATTATCTTACCAACGCCACCCATCAAATGGCAAGTCTGTACTTTTGTAAGCAACAAGGGAATGATTTTTTGGGTTTTCAGCAGGGGTCAAAACATTTCTTGCCGGCTAAGTTAAAAATGACATAGAAGAAAATGACATAAAACTTCAATGACATAACCTCCCTAAAAAGTGGTTTAACTGAAACCATTTTTAGAAAATAGAATGAACCAAAATCACATCTTATTTTAATAGAATTATAAAGCATTTCTCCCAAAAAGTTCAATAACCCACACATAAGTTCAATAATTCTATTGAAAAAAAATATACATTACAGTTATTGATATTATCATCTCATTCCTAACCATATCAGACACAGAAGAAAACCATATGTTTATCAAATATCTTGATAAATACCTCCACTGCATATATTTCTTCCTTTTCAAATATTTTTATAGACCACAAATCGTCCTCCATGTGAGCATTGACAGATACATCTGGCTTGTCTTTAAAAAATATATTAAGACACACTTAAAAATGTTGAGTGATAATCATAAGGGCTTAAAAAGCTTTTTGTAATTGGAGTAAAAGTAATAGCCTATAAATAACATTTAAATTAATAAATTTACTAATTCAGTGAAAAATTGTTTTAAAAATGTTTCCAAACCTTTTAAGTGGCCTTTAAAAATTAAATCTTGATTGACATGGAATGGACTTGTCTTCCCATCTTCATGAACTAACTGACCAACAAAACCTGCAGCCAATATGTCAGTTCCAGATTTCAGAACCAACTGAAAGTCTCTGTAAAATATTCACAATAAAAAGACATTTAGATCTAGAAGTTTGATTATGTGACCTCAGTTTTGATGGGATTGTGTGATCAGCTGGTTTTACTATCCAGGTTTGAGTCAAGGATCCCCCCCCCAAGCTCTTCCACAAACTTGAGCCTATTGACATATTGAGATTTCTGAAGAGTATGTGTTCAACCACTTCTTCCAATATTTTACACATTTTACAATAATTTGGTAATGTGCTAAGAGCTAAGATATATGTGTTCAATTTATAGTGATGCAATTTACTTCTTGAACACATAATGATGCACAATTACCTGCCTTATGTTTTAAAAATTATATTAACATTTTATAAAGTGTTTTGGATATTTCATATAACATATTTATGTATCTATGTTAGGAAAGAACTGAGGTGTTGTTAGTGTTCACTTCATCACGTCATCGTAGAACTTAGGAGGTTTATAAAACCTGAGCAAACCAAATTAAACTAGGCTAAAGAGATAAAAATCAATAGTTGCTATGAGGTACTTTATTGATCGGGGTCGGCGTGGTCGAGTCGGTAAAGCTCATGGTTACTAAACCGAAAAGTCTCGAGTTCGAACCCTCGGGCAGATGAGGCTCGTTAGCTGGGGACAGCCACTCTTCTAGGAGAGACAACTCCAAAATTAAACAACTGCTGCCTTGTAGTTTGTTCTTGGTTGGACAAAGGCTATGGAAGCAAATCCAAAAAGAAAAGCAGGCTGAAATCGGAGTCAATGGCCTCAATGGCGCATAACCAGTTGACACGTAACGCTTAATTGTGTTGGAGGCGTGGTCGAGTCGGCAAAAAGCTCATGGTTGATAAATTCGAACAAAGTCTCGAGTTCAAACCCACTGGCAGATAAATCTTGATCCCCTTCAACACTAATAATTAAGAATGAAGAAGAAGAAGATCGGCCAAAAATTCAACCCTAACAAATAATGAGCTAAAAAAAACAAAACAAAAAGTAGGCCAACCGCAATTGTCACTACAATGAAATAACACAATTAAGACATGTCCAACTTAAATTTTCATAAACACATACCTTGACATTCTAACAGGCCAAAAGGCAGAGAAAATAAAACTTACACTCTAACTAGCATCTTCATTAATGCTAATGCATTAACTAATAGTTTTAAACATAGATCTAAGACTAAAGGGTACATTACATGTCAATATCAAACCAAAATGTAAAAAACTCAGCAATAGATTTGCAAAATTATAGAAAAATGTCCCACACTTAAGTTTTGAAAATTCTCTCAAAATCACAGAATAGAATAAGATCTAACTTGTTAATCAGGCACTACAGAACGTTGTGACATTTAAATTAGTTTAATTAGGCCAGGCTGGAGGGTAGGGGGGGGGTTAGTGAATGGGATACCAGGCATTATTCACTCTTAGCTAAAGTAGTATATTTAAACCTTTCAAAACAGTTTGTATCAATAAAACTGCATACCTTTGGAGAATACTGAATTTTAATTCTTTATACATTTCAGAATTATCAGCTGAGCGTTTAACAAATGATGTTGACACTATATCAGTGTTACTGAATGTCTCATAGTATTTCAGATTTACAGCATACACACCTAAAAAGATTTAAAAGCGCAGTAAAACTTTGTAAAAAAAAATTAACAGCATTAAAAAGATAAATTTTGGCTATTGCTTTTCTCCAGCTTATAGATCTAAATTAAGTGGTATTTGTATGGCACAAAAAAAATCAAAAGGAGAAAAGATGTTTATTAATTGTTTATGTCTTCTAGTTTATTTTACAGTGTGATGTATTAGTCAAGTTCTAAAGTTACTAGAGATCTAGATTCTAGATCTAGATATTACTAGATAATCTGGAGTAAATCTAGATCTACATAATATAGTATATACATAAATCATAAACTATAAACATACATAATACATATTATATATGATCAGGTGAAGTTTAATTTTTTTTAAAAATAAGTAACCATAACATAGGAATAAGATAAATTTTAGCTTGTCTCATATAAAAAAACAAGTCAGGATTCATAAGATTTCAAGACTAAGTTAAATAAAACTTAGCATACACTACACTAATTAATTATAAGATATAGATCTAGATTCTAGATAAAAAATCTAGCCTCGGCCTTTACTATGTATGTACTATGTACCTATTACCTAACGATAAATTTTAGATAACCAAATAAATAAATAAAATAATTATTCAATATTGAAATTCGACATTTTTTAAATGTCAGAAATACCTACAGTTGGCAAGTGTTTGTAAGCAAACAATAAGGAAAATAATAGATCTAGCAGCCATAATCTTATAAAAAGACTGCCGTTGGTGACCTTGACTAATCTTGTTAATATTATTTACTTGTGTCGATCTACATATAGATCTAGATCTAGTCTAGATATACTATATAGGTCTATGTAAGTCTAGATCTAGAGATCTAGATTAGAAGATTTATCTAATCCAGTTGGTACATTTTCATTCGTAAAAGTTAAAATTTATTGCGCATGTTTGCATATTAAAAATATTGCCAGATTTTTATACAGTGCGGCTATTGCTTGAAAATTATTTTAAAATGTCAAATGACAGGCTAAATTTAATATGACATAGAATCTAGATCTAGATCTGACAGTAAAAAGTCTAGAAATGTGTAAAAAACTATTTTGTGAGGATCTTCACTGCAAAGATCACTCGAATCCTGTAATATTTTTTTTCACAATATTTCTAAAACAATACTCGTTAGACTTTATTTTGACCGATTTAGGTCTAGATATTAAGTTAGTTATTATTACTTATTTTAATTTTAGTGATCGTTATAAATAAAAAAAACCTGACAAATGTTTATTGGATATGACAATGAGTATTACTGATAACATTAACAGATCCTGCATATTGAACATATGTCATATAACCCTTGATCCTTCTTTTTCTAACTCTAATGGAGTCAGCTGCCTAGGTTTGGTAAAAGAAAATACTCTAATATAATTTTTTTTGAGTTTTCAAAATTTAGTATGATGAAATACTAATACTGTTTATTTATTGAGACCTCCACAAAAGGCTTTTTTTTTTCAAGATGGCCACCGTTGCCATGGCAACCATATGCTCAAAAGAGTCTGATTCATGCACAAATTTTCCCTTAGATACACACAAATAAATAAAAAAGGCTTATTAATTAACAAATTAAAAGTTTTATTTCCTTCTTCTTGGATTTCAATCAATGTTTTTAATGTATTAACAAGATGAATTTTAATAGCTGCTAAAGTGCAATATTCCAGAACAACAAGTTGGGTTCAGCCTCTTTATGGTTATTTCTGATTCACTAGATCTAGTAACTGAAGACAGGTGATCCCACCTGCTTATGCTATTGCCAAAAAAAATGTATACGAGTTTCAAAAATTAAAACACTTCTGGACAACCACTTACACAATTGTTGATTTCAGGTTGTGACTAGCGCAATGAACATATTCAACATACATTTAGATTTGTTTAATCCTCGCTTGTACACCTTTGTAAACTCCACTCACAACACTGGCTCTATCATAGCCCTAGCCGTAACCTTTTTAATATCAATGTTGATTTCTCTCAGCACACTTATCACTTGAGTCATTCCTTCTGCCGAGTGATCTTTTATTTTATAAATCCTAGTAAAGTTTCGCTTATATTAAAATGTCTTGTTTGTTAGATTTATTTCCAAGTAATGCAGACATGTCATATTATTATGCTCAACTAATCATTTTAGTAATGTCTTTTGCTGTGCCAAGACATTATATTTGTGTAAAGTTGGACTCAGGTATGTTACTGATCCAGTTGTCCAGATGGCATATCTAAACTTGTTTCATAACATCATCATATTGAGAAAGTAATTTAACTTAAATTTCTATTGTAGTCATCAAAATCTCATTCCCAATTCCCACGGAATGCTAAACATTATTGGAAAGCATTAACATCATAACATCGCATTTATACTTGTAACATGTAGGAGAAAAAATACTCGCAGTAAGTATAGGCCTACCTGTTCTGTGAGAAAAATGATTTCATAAAAATAAAACATAAACTTGTTGTGAGCTTTTTACTAGACATGTATGCATTGTATAGTATACATTGTGTAAGTATAATCACAGTATAAGAAATAAGCATGCAAAAAGCATACTCCATAAAGACGTTTTGTGCCGGCTTTGTTCTTCAGTGTTTTTATTTTGATCCATCCATAATTAGTGTGGTTATTTTAATTAAATTAAAAAAGAAAAACTTTCAATTATTATTACAATTTAAATTTAAAAACAATTACGTTTTATTCTGGATAAAAGAAAGATTTACTGGACAAAACAAAAAGAGTAAAATTGTAATTGTAAGAGTAAAACTTAAATTATTTTGTTTTACTCGCAAGAAGGCAGTTTTATCTCAATTTTGGTTAGCTTGCGTATACAGTGTGTGCAGAACTATGTAAATGCCTGGAGCCAACTCCAGTCCTATATATATATATTGTGAATACCGTATCTGTAAATTCATTTTTTTGAAAAATCAAAAACAGAATTTTTTAATGATGAAAAAATAATTCAAAAAATATATTTATGGTTTGAAATAATGAATCAGTTACACATACAATTTTGTTTTTTATTGAATATTTTGACAGTAGTCCTCATTCTTGTTCATTCATATCTTTATCAAATAGAACCATTTGCAGCCCAGTAAAGGTCATTACAATTTATTGGCATAGAAATCACCATTTTTCAGTTATGTAACAGAACACATTGATCAAATCCTAATGAGGTCCAATGAACCTATCTACAGAATTTCAATACACACATGGGATAGGCAGGACAGATTATAATTTTGTAAATATAATATAAATTACGTTATATTAGAAATAAAGTTTAATATGTGAGCTATATTAATATATCACTTCCAATAGAATCAACAATAGTGTCAAATAACAATTAGCAATTTCAAACTAGTTTTAGTATATTAGAAATAAAGTTTAATATGTGAGCTATATTAATATATCACTTCCAATAGAATCAACAATATTGTCAAATAACAATTAGCAATTTCAAACTAGTTTTAGTATTTTGTTTAATTCAATTATCTCTCTGTATAATAATTACTGTGTCCATTCACCTTCCAAGTTTTTAAAAATCATTTACCACTTGGTCTAAAAAAAAAACATTTGTATTTAGTGATTTTCATCAAGGGAGTATAAGAGAGATTAAATTAATTAGGCCTACAAGTAACTATGGTTAATATATACACACATATACATATAGGCCATATAAGCAAATGAAACTGAATTGAAATTTAAAACCTTAATTAACTGGTTTGAAATTATTGCAATAATACCTGTTGACAAAAAAACAACAACATAAAAACAATCACTGAGGTGAACTTTTTTTGCTTGGTTCAAGAAATGTGACAAATTTATTTTGTGTTGCTTAAGAATTAAAAAAAAATGAAAAAACATGTTAATTTACATTACAATAATGGTTATTTTGTTGAACGGGAGGTGAATGAAACAATGCTTTCAAGGAAACATGATCAAATATGTGTTAAACAATGTTATTAGTTATAGTAATGAGCTTTAAATCGTTTTTTCCCCTGGTCAACTTTAAATTGTTGCAGCACCATCAATGGCACTCGAGTCTGTCTTGTTTTCAGTGGCACTTGAAAACTGCTCAGTAACAGGTGACTTTGGCTTACTGTCAATGACACTAGAAAATGTTTTATCTGAGGTGGTATTAGAAGGTGACTGGCCCTCAATGATACTAATAAATTTGCTGTCCTCGCTCTCAATGGATGCTTCATCTTGCTCAGTGTCACTAGAAAATAAATGAGTTCAAAGTAACAGTAACTTAGGAAATTATATATATATATATATATATATATATATATTTATATATATATATATAAAGACTGGCATTGGGATAAAACCCTCAAGGAAAACGCAAAAGAAACACCAGTATCATGATATAACTGATATCTTTAAAAAAAAAGAAAAATACTAGTACAGGCCTACTTCTGGCTGAAACTCATATATATATATATATATATATATATATATATATATATATATATATATATATATATATATATATATATATAATTATATATATAAATATATACATACGTACATACAAATAAACACTTTTTATGAACACTATTTGATATATTTTAAAATTGTTTGTTCAATATAAATAAATAATTAAGAAGACAGAGTAAAAAAATGTTAAAGAAAAAACAACAATCTATACTATAAAAACTTGAAAAACAAACTCCAAACACTTATGTTTAATAACCTACTGCAAGTAAAAATTTTAACTTAATAATAAAACAATTACTATTTGAACTATAATAAAAAACACAAACATGTATCCTAAAAATTATTAAATACTCATTTATGTCTTCAACTGATCCAGGTTCATCCAAAGCATTTGTTGCCATGGTCATCCGTCGCTGAAAGAAAGAAGTAGAAAAATGCAAAGAATTATAACAAGCAGCAACAAATAAGGGTAGTACTTTGTGTTATTCACAAAAAAGTAGATACAACACAGAAGGATATGAGGTTTGGAAATAAACAGTTTCCCATGGGTTGCTAATTTGCTTCACAGGCCCATTGGAAATTATTTAAAAAATTAAAGAGCTGCTATGAAATTTGGATAATTTAGTGCATAGCTTAAAAAGCAAAATTCTTTGTTATAGAGTAATAACAGTTTTTAATACAGGCAGTAGATAGGTAGGTTTTAATAATCAATGGGTTTGATACAAATATATAAGGAAGCAGAAATTAGACTGACCCTGAGCTGCTCTGCATAAATATTGTCAATTATGTCCCTTCTTCTAGCTTCTCTTTTATCCTAAAACAAGAAAGAAAAAAAGTGAAATAAATGTCATAGAATCATTCATTAGTAGATACACTCAAGATCGCATACACTTCTCTGAGTGCTCACATTTCTAAGCATGATATTCGGACTACTAACAAGCTACAGAAGGAAAAACCTTGAGGAAATGCACATATTTAGTGGTTGTCAACATGAATAAAAGAAAGGCTTGATTCCTGTTCAAGCTTGTCAGGCTTAACAATGCTTGAGCAGGTAATTCCCATTTAGGAGTCCAGCAGAGCTACAAGTACTGTAAATATAAACCTTTTTAAAATTAATGGGAAAACTGTTCCAGTGTAAACTGAAGCTTGCTTTTGTGTATGTGTGTATAAGCTTACATATACTTATGCATATTTGATTTTAAAATTGTATATCGTTGCTTTGTCTGTTTTGTTTATAATTTGATGTTATTATTTATGCAAGTAGTTAAGTAGTTTGCTATTATGGCGTGGGTATGACTTTGATTTTAAAATTGTTTATGGTTGCTTTGTGTGTTTTGTTTATAATTTGATGTCATTATTTATGCAAACTTTTAGTTTGTCGTCCCACTTTATGTTTCATGTTGTGATGTAAGTTATTGTTGTATTAGGGACTATCTTCTTGTGCGCAGTATGTGGCGTGGCTGTACTTTGACTTAGTGCAAAATTTTGAATTTCGTTTTGTTTCGTAAAACGTGGTGTGTGGCAGAGGGAGGGACTTTCTGTTGGAATGTCGGGGCCTGTGATTTCTGTGGTTTCTGTGTGTAGTTTGATTGGGTGTTTGGTTATGTTTAGTCCGATTTTTGTCACTTTTAGTTTTTTTTAATTTACATTTTCTTTTAAAATTTGGTTACAATATTTTTGTTAAATATATTTTATAAATTGTTATCTTTTTTTTTTGTTTTATTTTGGGTTTAGACTAAGGTTAGGATATTAACCAGTCTGGGTTCAGCCAGATTTGCACTGACCTGATAGTTTAAATAGAAGCCTAGGGACGTAGATTAGTCACCTCCCTGTCAAGGCTTACACATAAAAAGGCATATATATATATATATATATATATATATATATATATATATATATGCCAACATGGGTAAAAAAATGGGTAAAATATGCTTAAGACCTGCATGCAGGTTTAAAATAAGGTTGATAAAAGAAAAGAACACATTTACCTTGCGATAAATAAAACAGGAGCCAGGTATCCATACCAATAAAATGACCACAATGACTGTTATCACAATATTAGACCTGACAATTGATACTGAAATTCATACAAAGTGAGGATAGTGTGGTTATATTTAATTAAAAAAAAGCCTGCCATAGTCATAATTGCATTAAATAGATAAAAGAGTACAGTGTAAATGTATTTTATTCAGTTTTCTCTAATAACATATTTGTACAGTTAAGTATTGTATTTTCATCAACTACCTGAAATATATACTAAAAATAAATGTTTCAAAATGTAACATTTAGTCAGAGTGGTTATTTTAAAAAATCTCGCTGCGTTGCAATACAATAAGTGCAGAAAGTTTTCATTAATCCATAATAAACAATATTTTTTAGTTATATTTCCAACTGATCCATTTCTGTTAAAAAAGAAACCACCTGACATTTTGCTTCCCTGTTGCTGTTTTTAAATACATATTTTGTTTTTTAATTTAATATTTTAAAAAAAAAGCAACTTTGTCTTATTACAAATTTACCAGCAGGGTGTGAAATCTAGGCATTTTAACAAGGAACAAAATGATTTGATTTCCTGAAGTTAATTTGTTTTGGAAATGCCGTTGCTATAAGTTTGGAATCATTGCAGGTTTTCTTTTTAATAACAAATATGTTTATTATGCACTTAAAGTGTCCCAAAATTTTTATGTGTACTTAGAGTTAGAGATTCCATTTCAACAGTTTTGTTTTAAAGTGTATCCTTAATTAATATTAAATAATAACCTTCTATCTCCATTACAGTCAAACATATGTGCAAGACTATAAATAAAATAAAGCACTCCCAACACCATCACATTGTTATTACCTTGATTTTGATTAGGATTCGATTGTTCAGTTTTGTGTGAGCTAGGAGGCACTAAATTTTTGGTACCTCTACTTCTGTTAGGTTAACGTAACACTAGATGTAATATTGCAAATAACCGAATAAGCTTGCTCTATAATTTGCCAGTTTTCCTGTAAGCTGGCTCATTTTGGGTATTCCATAGAAGAATGCTAGGTTTCACACTTTGCTGGTAACATATAGATTAGCTCAATGGTTCTTAATCCTTTTGGAAGCACCGAACCCCCTCAGTTTCATTTGCACATTTACCTAACCCTTCAATCATCTGCACTGACAAAATTGGATATAAAATCATGCCGGGTGTGTCTTGACCTCTGCCGAACCCCTGAGACTGACTCACCATACCATTAGCGTTTGGTCAAACATTGAGTTTAAAAACCACTGTATTAGCTTAAGCTGACTTCAGTGTGTGTAAATAATCAATAACTAAAGAGTGAATGAATAACACAGAAAAGGTTTGCATACAAAACTATACAACATTGTATCAAACATGGAATATTTAGGACTACATTTGATTAATTTAACATACTGAAAACAAAATACACATAAAATGTATGTAGCTAAGTCTAACTCAAGAAAGTAATAGATTTACTAAAAGTATCTAGAAATTTTAAAACTCAAAATAATGACTTCTCATATATCTTGCTTTATATTAGATAACTGACCATCTCTGTGTTATTTAAAATATTGTTCAATTTATTGTTTCCCCTCCCAAACTATGAAATATTCTACAATACTTACCTATTCTTACTTTCTCTTCAGCCACTAAAAATGAATATATTCGTTTTATTGTTGTAGTTACCACAGGAATACACCTACCCTGCTGAAATATTATGCCTGAATTTATTATATCAGCAAAGCTAATTGCCAAAAAATAAGAGGTGGGTGTGGGTGGAAGTGTTCTAAGACTGCTGTCCCCATAAAGTGCAATCCAACACAATGACAACTAAGATAAAGCAGGAATTAACTTTTCTTATTTTTCACGTACGAGCTGACCCGAGGTGTATCATACACAGCTATTTAGTTGTTGTTTTTTCTACTTTTCAGTAATTCATAATTTGTGAATTCGACAGTACCAATGCTGCCACTGAAAATATTTGCTTTAAAACACTGAACCCCCCCTCCCCCCCACGTGAAAGCAGCCTCCTCTTAGTTACCTCCTCTAAGTTTAAAATCGTTTCAAACTAAATTATCTGCCCCTAATAGCCGTCACCAAACCCAGCTCTACGATTGTAAAATGTAAACATTTAGCGTGAACCACAGCTCACCAGACCATGTGAGGGGGGGGTGGGGGGTGGTAACGATAGAGAGGAAGAGAGGGGACTGTAAGGCGCGCTTGCAGCTTGTTTTCTAACGTCTCCCAGAAGAGAATTATATATATAGATATTAGTATTAAACAGAAAAGGATGGATGGTAACTAACGTGGTATCAGGCAAAATAGAAGTGGTAAGTTTGCAACTAAAACCACATATTTGTACACAACCACCCAGATGCTGGTAAGTTTGTGGCTAAACAACATGCTTGTACACACAACCACCCTGATGCCCCAGGGTATGCTGTATGAAAACCGTGAGTGAATGTTGATCACCCTCCGCAAGAGTAAGACACAACACATCTCAGTAACCTCAAGCATGACAGAGTTATCGCTGGGCTTTCTTGGGAGACACATCTTAGGCTACCACAGGGGTTCAAAAATAAAAAAATAAAAAACGCCGCACTGGAATTTATGTAAGAAATCTTGTCAATCTAAACGGAAATCACTTAGAAGTTGATTAAAGCTGAACCGTAGAATGCACACATATGAAATTTTGTACACCTCTATGAAATGGTAGCCAAGTTATCATGTTCATACACTTATACATATAGACATTATTGCAAAATGGTTTATTTCTGGCTCAGGACGGTGTAAAACTTTGAAATTTGTTACAATTTCATTGTTGATTTTTCGCTCAGCTACAATATTTAACCACTATATAAAGTAAAACCATCTTTGAATTAAAACAAGCAAGTGAATAACATATTCAATATCTATACATCTTTAACAAAAACAACAACTACCTCACAAAACCCAGCATTGCATGGACTGCCATCTTTTTTATACTTTTTTGAATAAGGTTTGCATGTCCCAGGGCGTTCTGGGTCAGAATTATCATAGCAACACCATTTGCATTCATCTTCTGTAAACATTAGTAACAATTGAAATGGTTATTAGAGCTCAAGAACACCAGGAAATAGTTTTTTAGTCTTAAAAAAACTTCAATAAGTCTATATACCAAATACCAGGCATCATAATGAATTGATATACTTGTGGTAGTGTATTGTTTGTTACAGTATACTGCATGATTCAGTTAGGTGACTACACCAAACGAAAAAAATCAATACTACCATTTTAAATTTAGGAATGATTTAACAGTGAATAAAAAGTGTCACTTTTATTGCATGTTAAGCAGTACAACTTCAGGGGTAGAACAAATATTATGATTTTCATGTTTATAGTTTGGTCAGTCCAATGATAGAGATGTGAATAGTTTAAGAATAAATCAGTTATATATATATATATATACGGATATATGTGTATATATATATATATATGTATATATATATATATATATATATATATATATATATATATATATATATATATATATATATATATATATATGTATATATATATATATGTATATATATATATATGTATATATATATATATGTATATATATATATATGTATATATATATATATGTATATATATATATATTATATATATATTTATATATATATATATATATACATATATATATATATAATATATATATATATATATATATATATATATATATATGTATATATATATATATATATATATATATATATATATATATATATATATATATATATATATATATATATATATATATTTTAAAAAGAGGGGTGGGGGGGATGTGATCCTCAATATACATACCTCGGTTTCGACACAGGCAAGGTTCCAAAGTTTTTGAAAGCTCGATAGACTCCATAGCGCAAAAGCTTTTACACTCACCATGGTAACATTTGCCCCTAGCAAACATAAAAGAAATCTATAAACCTAATTGTATCCAAGTTAGCTGCCGACCATTTTAGCCCTAGGTTACTTCTTAGTTCTTTAAACATAGGAAATTTAGACAAATTTATGCATAACATACTGTAACATACATGAAGTAGCATAAAAGTAAGTTAGTCTACTGAACTTGGCTTTCATGTGCTTAACTACACCATCCCAGTTATTTTGAAAATAAATAAAAGGCTTACCCATCTAAACAGCTTGAATTATCTGGTAAAAATTCAGCTGGAGCACAAGTATAGCTTAATCCTCTGTATTTTTAGTCAATGGAATATTATAATATTTTGAATAGAGGTGAGGGATACTTAACACATGCATGTTGTATATATCATTATGGTTGAAAAAATTTACTATATGTAAATGGCAACCTTTTAAAAAGTGTTAAAACAAATTAACATCCTCAGTTTAAAAAATATTTATTACAGTAATTTGAAGCATTGCAAATTATTTTGTGTATAAAGTGACCCAACAATAGATTACAGTGGGAAATATCTCAAGATTACTTTTAAGTTTACTGTAAAGAAAATTTGTAAAAATTACATAATTGAAGCTTTTAAAGTATACTTTTTCCATATTTATTTTGTACCAAAAAAAGGATACGTACAGTATCTTGCCTTCTTACACTCATTAACAAAACTTCCTTCACAAATTGTATTTGCATCAGCAATATTACATTTAGAACAGCATACAGTATTGAAGTCACTGAAGTAGCAAAAAAGTAAATATTGAAAAAAGTAAATATGCATTTTAAAAAATACAGACAAAATAAAACAAAAGACCCCATAGAATTTATTTGACGGAAAAAAACCTACATCAGATATTTAAATATATATTCTATTATTACAGGAAGGTTGAATAAAGATGTTTAGTAAACTATAATTTTATTAATAAATCTATTGTGTAAACAACAGGAATTCATGGGAAGTATGGTTTATTTACTTCCCAACCTAAACAAGTATTTAATTTGTTTTTCTTTTACATACAGAAGGTCCAAAAAAAAAATAATGAGCAGATAGGAAACGAATAATATAATAACCCAACATAGTGATACTGAACCTGATATTATAGTATTTTCTTATAATATTTACACTATAATTGTAAAAGATTTTCATTAAAAAAAAACAAATAAAATTCAGCTTGTTAATTAACTTGTATTTTTTATCATGTAACAAGGATCATGAGCAGTACAGCTAACAGTCTAGTCATTAGCGCTATGCAATGTGTATTAGCTCAACCATATGTTCTATTTTTATACCACTACTGAACAGACAGGTGATAAAAAGTAATAAATAAAAGTGAAATGTCTTTGTCAATAAAATAATGTAATGTGATTTTTAAAAAAATATGTAGTATGATAAGTATTTCTTTAATAGGCCCTAATAGCACTGTGGTCTAAAATATTTTATCATTAGAATACAGGGTAAATGAAGGTCAAGTTTGATTTATATTGGAGTAAAAATTAACAGTGAAGCTTAAAAAAAATGTACACATTATATATATATATATATGTATATATATATGTATATATATATATATATATATATATATATATATATATATATATATATATATATATATATATATATATATATATATATATATATGTGTATATATATATATATATATATATATATATATATATATATATATATAGGCCTATATATATATATATATATATATATATATATATATATATATATATATATATATATATATATATATATATATATATATATATGTTTATATATAAACAACAATTTCTTTTTAATGATACCTGCAAGTAGCAGTCAAATTTAGTGTACAATCTGGTCGGCAGCACTGGTCTAAGCCAACTATACTGTTTGTGCCACCATCACACTCTTCCCCAACATCTCTGACTCCATTTCCACAAAATGAAGTAATCGAACTTCTAGCTGAAATCAATAAGTGACAGTTGTGGCTGCAGTATCAAAAGTGTATATAAAATGAGATACCAAAACCTTAAATTGGGAAATTAAAGGCACCTGGGCATAATTCTAACCACACTACACTGTAGATACTGAGGCTAGAGAAAGTGATGATGGTTTCTACTTCATCTTCTCTTCAGACCATCTGGTCTTAAAAGGTCCTTTACTTACTATACCAGTGTGTTCTTTCTTCTTTCTTCTTCTTCGTTCTTAATTATTAGTGTTGAAGGGGATCGAGATTTATCTGCTAGTGGGTCTGAACTCGAGACTTTGTTCGAATTTATCAACCATGAGCTTTTTGCCGACTCGACCACGCCTCCAACACAATTAAGCGTTACGTGTCAACTGGTTATGCGCCATTGAGGCCATTGACTCCGATTTCAGCCTGCTTTTCTTTTTGGATTTGCTTCCATAGCCTTTGTCCAACCAAGAACAAACTACAAGGCAGCAGTTGTTTAATTTTGGAGTTGTCTCTCCTAGAAGAGTGGCTGTCCCCAGCTAACGAGCCTCATCTGTCCGAGGGTTCGAACTCGAGACTTTTCGGTTTAGCAACCATGAGCTTTACCGACTCGACCACGCCGACCCCAGTGTGTGTTTGTGTTGATTTTTTCATTTTACATTAGTGAGTTTATTTTTAAACAGCATAAGGAGATGCTGACAATTAGCTATTTCATGCCACTGTAACTTTAGTGTAAGTGGCTGTATGGTGCGCCAGGAAAGTATAAACCCTTTCTCATTTTGTTGCTTTTTAGAAACCTCCGAAACAAAGTCTGCACTCAAAGACATCACCACAAAAACTGGTGTGCCAAGATTCACTGATTCTTTGATTTAATATATTCATTTTTCTTGAGACTTTAGATTCATCTATCTTTGTTTTCCTTTAATTCAAAATTATTATACCTTGTAAAGCATATCTACATATGCATATTGAAGTGTGTTTACCTTGTATAGAATTAATTAAAATTAAAATACCTACGTTTTAAGCAGTTAGCTACCTCCACTAATTGACCGATCTGTTTCAACGAGCAGGGTGAAAATAGCTGTTGAAAAAGATGCTGCTTGATTTTTTTTGTCAATGCAAAAATAAATTCAGATCAATCCACTCAAATCAACAACCCACGCCTACTTTTTTACATGAAATTTTTCAATTGAATTTTATCTGTGCTGTTAATAAAAATATTCTTATTTCACACACCAAACAAACTATAGTTGTTCGTTATGTAATGTTTGATATATTGTTTTAAAATTCCAACTTTTTTTTGTAAGAAATATTTCTTAAATATCAACCATGTAAAAAAAAAGTGCTCTTTAGTGTAGCTTTGTGGAAAGAAATTAGATGCCTATTTACACAACAAACAAATACTAAAGGGTAGATAATGGAAAAGCACAATTTATCAAGGTAAGTATGTATTAAGTTGGATATTTATTTGGAAATATGGATTAAAAAAACAAAACAACAATTGAAATGATCTTACCAAATGGTTAGGATTCAACCCTGTGACAGACCTGGCCCACATGAGAAAATTACCTCCTTCCTCATCTGGCTTTGAGCATTCATCACTTGCTGGGTCATGGTTGCTTCCAAAATTGTGACCTGCATTTAAAACAGTTTTAGAATACAAATTTTTATACAGGCCCAAGAGTCAAATTTTTATCCAATCATTTTTTTTAATATGGGAAATTGTTCATCAGTATATGATGAAAAAGAAATCTGTAAATGGTGTAATAGTACAGCGTAATCTATTTAGTGTAAACTAAAGGAAGTAAAAAACAAACTGGTTGGATGAACAATGCAATGTTGTATACATTTCGAGTGGGGGGTAATTGTTGCTATCATCAATACTTTAAAAAAAAACAAAAGAATGACATTTTTAAAACTATGGCAACAAAAAACTTTTAATATCACCACTGCCTCTCTTGGTGACGCCGTGGCCTAGCAGTAAAGCGCTAGAAAGTCTTGAGTTCGAATACAAAGTCAGTAAAACTTCCCTGAGTTGTATACATTTTGAGCAGGGGAGGTCATTGTTACATTATGTCTTGTTAGTTATTGTTAAGTCCCTTGTATTATGTATAACTTTGTTATGTCCCTTGAATGTTTTGTCTATGTCATTGTATTGTGTTTGTTTTCACATTTTCAGTGGGTTTGGCTAAGAATGAAGCTAGAGAGAAGAGTGTTGTCAGAGCTGAATTATATGAATAATTAAGTATTGTAGTAAACTCAAAGGAGTCTCCTGTTTAAGTGGAACAAAACAAAATGTAACACTAATAACGCTAGGGGGCAATGTCAGCGGGGTTGCCCTACAGCTTACAACCATACTTTTTCTCCATCCTTGATTTAGTGAGTGTAATTTATTATTTTTTCATTTTGCAACTTTTGTGTGTTTTTGATTTTATGAACAGAATTATGAAATTGAAAACATAAAATTCACTGCTAACAGCAAATTCCATGTATGGATGTATACAAACAAACAGAGCTCTATAGCAACAGGAACCATAACCGTGATACTTATCTACAGCACCTAATTCTGTAAAGTAAATTAAACAGTTAAACTATTATTTTTAGATGTAGAAATTTATGAAAGCAATACAAAAAAATTAATATAAAAACATATTTAGAATACTCATTAACATTGTAAGACCGCTGGGTTAATTTATTTTGCTTTTTGGTCCTAGATTTATGTTGACAGACATCTCATTATAACAAAAGTGAAGTTACTCTATTTGACCTGATGGTCATAAGGGAGGACTGAAGTTGGGTTCACCTGTTTTTGTGGGGCCACAGCATGTTTAAGGATAGTTTGGTCAGTTCAGTGTCTTTACTCTCCCTAACTTGAATCAAGTACCCCTTTAAACTGGGTGGACTCACTGGAATTCTACAATTTTGAGTCGAAAACCAAACTCTAGAATTTTCAAAACTTAACCATGCCATTCTTTAAAGTAGTTTTAAAAAGTTCATTTATCTAACAATGAAAGCTTTTATAAAATGTAAAAAAACAAAACAGTTTTTTATAATATATTTTCAGAAACTTATTTACATACAAATCAAAAAGCCTCTACATAAGACTGGTAATTTCTTAATTAGTTTAGTTATCTACTAACCACAACACCCAGTGTAAGCCAGAGGATGATGTATTCAACATTTACTTAAACTGTCTGAACCATAATAATAAAATGATAACGTCAAAAATAAAACTGTAATAAACTTGAAAACAGTTTGAATTTTATTACCATGAGCAAAGACTAGATTCATCTGAAGAGACGAGACCAGCCCAGCATTAGTATCCTCTCCAGATGTAATGCCTATACTATAAAAATTTGACGCTGTATCTATTCAGAAAAAGAGGTTTAGGAACATTAGTTTTAAATTTACTCTGATTTAAAAAATAATTAAAAAAATAATTTTTTAATGAATGAAAATAGAATAAGGGAAATTTCATATTTGAAGCAATAGACAATGTTTTAGACATGGCGATAGCTATCTTTCAAAGTAGTGCATCTTTGAAATCAACCCATTAAAACAGTCTATGGCAATGTAAAGCGAGTCTGTTTAGAATGAAGAAATTACAAAACATGAAATAAATTAGTTCATATGCATTTAACTTAATTACTTGTATAACTTGTATAAATTTAATTTAAAAAAAAAGTGAAAAAGTAGACAAAAACAAATATATATGATTATGTTTATATAACATCTTACTTTTGCATATTCCACTCAGATAAGCAAAGCCCAAAACACGGTTAGGTAGGGGGTATTGGGTAAACAAATGATGGTGACAAAAAAAGTCTTTCTGTGAAGCCAGGTGATATGCAAAAGACTGCAATGTATAAAAGTAATAAGTAAAAACATTTCAATTTAACAATTGGATATAGTCATTTAACTGCAACCCTGAGAAAATGTGAATAACTTACACTCATTTTCAGGTCAGGATTCCATTTAATGCCAGCAGCATTGTAATGTGGAAGTTTGTGTTCCTTGCTAGTTGTTGATGGTGTTGTGTAGAGCAGAATCTGTAGGAGAGTTCAGTGGAATACTTCAAACAAATTTCATGTTAAATAGGTCTCTGTCTATCTTACAACTCTTTTAAAACTGAGTAATGCTGTCTCAGTGGAACACATTGCACTGAGGCCACATCCTCCTAACATGTACTTCATGTATAAAATTAATTTTTGTTTATCTGGTCAAGACAACTTTCAAACTTTAAAATTTACCTTTCCAATTTGAAGACCAATGTTACTGATTATATCATTATTATATCCTACAAATGATGAACTTCTAAACACCTTGTCTGTTAAATGAACATAGCTTATCTGCCAAAAGAAAAGAAGTTCCAAATTAGTTTATTATTTTCAATTGTTGTTAAAGTATTCACATCAATAAAAAATGTTTTTCTTTGTGAATTGTTCATAATTCTGTTTTGGCCCTTCCCCATTAGGCTAGGAATATACACTATCAGTGTTAATTCCATTAATCTACTTGATTCCATATTATTATTAAGGTTGATTTAGTAATATATTCATCATGCAATAGTTAAGGATGTTACATAAATGTCAGCCCATGGCCAAAGGGCCTGGGGGTTCAAATTTTTGTGATAAGTGATGACAGGGGGGTAAACAGAAATGTCAAGAGAAGGCAAAGAGAAATGTAAACATAAATATAAACAAACAGAAAGGCCAATATTTACCAGCAAAGAATAACAAGACTGGAAGTTATAGTGACATCTATCACGGAATAATTTATAGCTACCAATGACAAAGATTACACATGTGTCTGCAGCTTCTCTCTTTTTTCTTATAACACCTGATTTTGCTGTAAAAAACAGTTTTAATCTCATAATTACCATGTGACAAGAAAATTAATAAATGGTTTAATATAGTCCTTATATAAAGACTATGCTTTTGCTTTTTTAAACCAAAATATTTTAATAATAATAGATCTATACAGCAGCATTGAATAAAAATATAATCTAAACATAATTTTAAATTCAACAGTTAAGAAAAAAATAGTTTAAATCTACATGTATAAAAAGCAATGTATGTGTGTGTGTGTGTGTCTGTTTGTTTGTCTTTTATGCATTCCTACACCTCTCATCACATCGGCGTGAAACTTTGGGAAGTTGTTGTGAATATTTCTGAAAAAAAAATAATAATTCAAATTTGCAGGGGTGGCGCCCCGGCAGAGTGCAATTTGTTTTTTCTCTATGTACGGTATATAAAAAAATAAAAGTCGATTGAAGTTTGACACAGTTCATCCCATCGTCATCAAACTTGATTAGAACACCCCAGTGAGTTGATTAGAACCACCCAATGAGTTCATTAGAACACCCCAGGGAAGGTTTATGCAAAAAAAATCTCTTTTGACTTCACAAGGGCGGCGCCCCGGGAGGGTTCTATTTTTCTCTAAAAATGGTATATAAAAAATAAAAGTACGATGTGGTTCGAAACCTTTCATCCGTGTGCCATGAAACTTTGGGGAGTTGATGAGAATACTCCCGAGAAGGTTACTGTGAACAAAGTAATGACAATATGATATGGATGGCGCCTGCGATGGTGAGATTTTCGTCAAACACAATTTGGCGCTCAGAGTTCCAGAGCGTCTATGTTAGGACGTGGCATCCGCTAATCTTGCGCCCTGCATAGCGGGTGGGGGGTAATACTATACTCAGCGTTAAAACTTCAAGAGGCGCAACCGTCGGCGCCCTGTAGATTGCACAACCCGAAGCACCCCGGGCTCCCCTGCGAACACTATGGCGTCTACATTCATTAAAAGAAGACTATACACTAAAGACACGATGGGCAACAATAATCATTGACTATATCGAACCAGGCACGTTCCCTGGTAGTGTTGGTATTGTAGGTAAATCCGTGTCCCTATATTTACGTTCCAAGCGTAGGCATTGTTTACATTTAAATAACTCAGTTTAAGAAAACAAGGTCACGCGTCTTAGAACATAGGATTGCGCGGGACGGGTAGGCTAGTTTTTAATAAAAATAAGTGACCACAAATGTATTTAATTATTTTAATGCCATCCCAGGTGGACTGTTTTACTTTTTAACAATCAAAGTCTTAACTGAGTAAAGTACCCTTTTGAGCCTTATAATCCATGGGGTGAAGTAGAGTTCACCAGTTTTAGTGACCTCAGCATATGAAGGGATAGTGTGATCAGCACTATGCAGGACGCTTTACTTCCCCTAATGTGAGTTGAGTACATATCCAAGATGGGTGGGTGCAGGGGTGTTCAACAGTCAAACGCTCTACCATTTGACCACACCATCCCAAAGTGCAGAACTACCAATCTCTAAAGTTTAGTCAAGATCATGAATATTAGATACTAGAACTCTTTAGGGATGATCCATTATTCCACATGGGAAGAGGAGGGCTATGACTTAAAAAAAAGCACAAACCTTTTACTTTTTGTTAATATCATAACAGTTAACCCTTTAGATTATAACAATAAGTTTGTGGTTCATTTTGTTCATGCTTGGTTTTAGTTATCTTCAATGTTGAAGTTAATTTTGGTTTATCAAATAAGTCAAACAGTTTTTAGCCAATAATGATAAGAAATTATTGAAAAGAAGATCTATTTGTAGTATTAATAAAATATATCTAACCTGTATTATTTGCTTTCGTCATGTTGTCTAATTTTGCATCTACAACTCCACTAAAACAAAATAAATCATCAAATTTATGCAAACAAACATTTAACCTAGTTTTACAAGAATGTAAATAATTTTACTGTAGTAGACATATAGTTAAAACAAAGATTATAATTTTAGAAAGTGTTCCAAAAATAAATAAATCCAAGAATAAATAAAAAAAACAACAAAGAAGGTAAATGATGTGCAAGAGTTTGTCTACCTTGGCAGCAAGATCAGCAAAACGGGAGGCAGAGAGGAGGACATACGCGCTAGAGTTAATAGAGCCCGCTGCGCTTTCACAGTCCTGCGACCCATATGGAAAAGTTCGGCCATCTCCATTACCACAAAAATTAGGATATTTAACTCTAATGTCAAGGCAGTTCTGCTGTATGGAGCAGAGACATGGAGAGTCTCCAAGGCAAGCATAGCAAAGATACAGACCTTCATGAATAGATGCCTTAGACAGATACTGAAACTGAGATGGCAGGACAAAGTCCCGAACTTGGAACTATGGAGGAAAGCTAGGCAGGAGCCTATAGGTGTGCAAATAAGAAGGAGGAAGTGGCGCTGGGTGGGTCACACACTGCGAAAGGCTCACACAAATGTTACACGCCAAGCGCTTGAGTGGAACCCCCAGGGAAAGCGGAAGAGAGGGCGCCCAAGACAGACCTGGAGGCGGAGTCTTCTTGAAGAACTGAAGCCAACAGGGATGTCTTGGGAGATGTCAAAATTAATAGCCGAGGATAGGAAGAAATGGAAGGAAATGGTGGAGGCCCTATGCTCCATAAAGAGCAAAGAGGACTAACAACAACATAACAAGTTTGAAATGAAGAAGTAAATTCATGATCTTACCAACGCCACCCATCAGCTGGTAAGTCTGTACTTTTGTAAGCAACAAGGGAATGATTTTTTGGGTTTTCAGCAGGAGATAAGAGATTTCTTGCAGGCTAAGTTTAAAAAACATCAAAATTAATAGACTCATGCTATCTTAAAGAAGGTTAATTCAAAATATTTTACATGCGTAAGTGTTAGGAAATTCTTCACCAATCAGGTTCAAAGGATAATTTATTTTTTCCCCGATATTTATCTAAGTGATTTATAACTTTCCCTATCTTGTTATATTCTGTTTTTTTTATTAAAAAAATACATATTTGAATTTGAAACTTCTCCATATTTTTAAAGTTGTAGGACAAAAGGCCAACATCCATCAGGTTGATTGGATTTAAAGGCTATGTGTCCAGCATTCAAATGAGAGACTGGCAAAAAAAACAGGCAGACCTTACGGTTGACAAACAAAATATCCAAGCCTTGTCAATAATAAAAAAACAAAACAATGGGTTACTACTGTATAATAGGCTACTCTTTGATAGTAGGGTGAGACAACCATCAAAGAACAAAAATCATAGAGTGCCGACCATCACAAGATAAAATATGTCACCCAGAAGCTATTATCAATTTAGTTTAATTAATTACAAAATATCGTTGAGTGAAAACATTTATTATTGTAGAAGGTAGGGAATGATTGTTAAATTAAGTCTTCATTTTTTTTAACCATTTAGAAATGTACAAATGGGGTAGATTTTAATCTATTGCTAAACACAAAATCTGAATACTTGGAACGCCAAGCTATCAAACTCTTAAATGTTGATCATTTGTATTTTGGCCATTTGTTAGTTGGTATTCTGTCTAATGGTGGTCTACTGGTAATCGTCAGTATGGTATGTCAGCCTTTTGTCCATCCTGCCTTCATCTGGATCCCATTTAAAAAAAATTGTAGATAATGGTAAACCTAGCACACATTTGCAGAAAAAACACAATATAGCAGACATTTAGTCTGAAGGTAAGTTTATTAAATATGGAAAAAATAAAAGCCTCATCTCACTAGCTAAAAGAAAACATTTATGTAGGCCTTAGCTTAATACTAAGGAATAAAAATGTAAAAGATTAGGGTTTAGAAACCAAATAAGTTTATGACCCAGAGATCAACGCTGCGCAGAAATAACGTGCCAATGTATGCATTAAAAGAGATTTTAATAGGGCTTTCTGCTAGGTCTTATAATATTAAACATGATGTTCCTACAAAAATATTAGTACCCAATTTCATCTGCAGACTAATCAAAAGTTTTACACATTTGTCCCATTTGGAATTTTTAATTGTTCAATGTACCTATATAAAATGATATAAATCATTCTCCCAGAGTGTGTAGTTAAAAAAAATATTGTAAATTCAATAGATCTTCTTTTACATATAAAGAATAGGCCATGTTAAAATACCTCTACTGCATAGATTTCATCTTTTTCAAAAATTTGTATAGACCACAAATAGTCTTCCTTGTGAGCATGAACGGATACATCTGGGTTGTCTGTAAAATATTGTTATAGCAATATCAATTCATGTCAATAACATGTATAAAAATATTCAACAAAAGAGCTGATTAAAGGTAAATTACAAATTAATAAAAATGATATTTTGAAATTTTTGTTTAGTAGATATTACAAAAAAGTAAAACAAAAAGAGTTAAATAAACTATTTAATTTAACTATTTGTTTGGTCAAACTAGAAACAGTGATTTTTAATTTACTTATTAAATGAAAAAAAAAGTTAAAAGATATTAAATAAACCTTTTAAGTGGCCTTTAAAAATTAAATCTTGATTGACATGGAATGGACTTGTCTTCCCATCTTCATGAACTAACTGACCAACAAAACCTGCAGCCAATACATCAGTTCCAGATTTCAGAACCAACTGAAAGTCTCTGTGAATACACACTTAGTTAAAAGTCACCATTAAAATGGTAAAGGATGAAAAAAAAACAACCTACAAAATGCTTAAAATTGATAATGTTGACACATTATTTTTTAACCAAGAAGTATTAGCCTAGAAAAATGGCAGAAAAAAAAAGAAAGAAGCAATAGTTTTAACCTGAACTGAAAAGCCTGTTCAAAATGTGGTCTATCAATGCTTTTCTTTTAAAGAAAATATATTTTTTCAAACTGCATACCTTTTAAGAATAAGGAACATTTGTGACCTTTAAAATATTTTTCAAACTTATCAAACAAGTATTTATCAAATAAAATAGTCTATACTGATATTACAAAATGGCTCAAAGTATGTCTTCTATTAGAACCAAATTATCAATACTTTTTCTTTTCAGAAGGTCTAAAACAAATACCTTTTGAGAATACTGAATTTTAGTTCTTGAAATAGGCTGGTTCTGGAGGTTTCTGCTGAGCGTTTCACAAAAGATGATGACACTATGTCAGTATGACTGAATGTTTCGTAGTACTTCAGATTTACAGCAAATGTATCTGAAAGAGTTAAAAAGCTGAATTAGAAAACTCATATACTTTTTACATCTTAGTCATCAGCCTTTGATATTAAAACTCTGGTAGCTACTTTTTTGGCAAACTTAAGTGTAGGTCCAGTATAGGCAAATGGTGTGCTGCCCATGGACTCAGGGCAGTGGCGTAGCGAGGTTGGGTGTCACCCAGTGCGGCACTTAATGGTGTCACCCCCCCAGAGGCGTAGCGACCCTTCTCGGGGACAAACTTTTAAATTTTTGATTTGCACCCTCCTCAAACTTTCGATTTGCACCCCCCTCTCAAGTTTTTCTCTATATATTTTGCTATTTTTTGCCTTGGTGTCACCCCCCTAAATGGTGTCACCCGGTGCGGTCCGCACCCCCCCTCGCTACGCCTCTGACTCAGGGTACTAAGCAAGTCCCATACTGGTCTTAAGTAATACATTTTTTGACAAATCTGTATGTGATCAGCATGTAAATTTAATTCTGAATTGCGCTTATGTAAACATAATTATTTCAAACTGGTTTTAAAAAAACGATAGCTTAAAGGAATAGGCCTAGTAGATCGAGATAAAATAAAAAATTGTATCAGGTGTAGCAGTGTAAGTTAATGACATAATTAAAGTAAAGCCTATATTCTATTAGCAAAGGCTATTGGATGCACAAAAAAAAAAACAACAACAAAAAACAAAAAAAAATTCAAGAGAGAAAACAATGACACTTCAAATAATGCAACTTTATATTTTCTTAAAAATAAACTAAAATAGCATACAGTGATTCATTTTTTAACAGTAGGTTCAAATCAGCAAATAGGCAACTATTCATCCTTACTTAGGTTGTAGTACATCTCAAAATCTAGCTTTAGAAACTTTATAAGAAACTTAATTTTCTGAAGGCCACTTATTAGCCATGCAAAGGATGCTTATTATTAATAAATGCTATTTCTGCTAATGCTCCTGATAAATACATACTTTAACAAAACTAATCCTGACCATATCATATACTTTGCTTAAGGAATATATTAAAGATACAGTGAAATGAACAAACAGAATCCAAAAACTGTAAGACATGTGTGAACAGAGACCAGTACAAATAATAATATTTAGATTAGACTAGCAGTCTACTAGACCTAACTATAACTTTAGATTAGAACACTATGGCAAGGGATCAACAAAAGACGTCACACTTTTTTGGACAATTTTTACCTCCTCCCCCTCTCTATCGTCACCCACCTCATCTCACAAACCCACCATCAGAATGCAGTTTTAGTTTTTTAAAACATTTATTTCTTTCTAAAATATTTTTAAGCGCTGTCAACAATTGAGTCTTGAATATATTAATCAATTTCTATTTCAATTTAGAATAAAACCCAGCTTTTTAAAAATGTAAAAAAAAACCGACTAAAAGACAGTTTTTAGCATTACATTTTAAATTGCAAAAGAAGTGTGTCGTAACAGATGATAACACATTTCCCTTTGTCACCTACAGAGTTTCTTCCAGGCATCTCTTCACGGACGGGGATGGGGGAAATTTCAAGTGCCCCCCCCCCCCCGGGAGAAAACAGTCTGGAAGAAACACTTTCGTCACAATTTTCTTAATTAGTAAATTTCCCCCCCCCCCCACCCACAGAGAGGTGTAACATTTGTTCACTTATTTGTTTGTCTTTTACACTGAACTGACCCTTTCTTTAAAAAAGTGAAATAGATTTATTATTATATATATTTTATAATTAATTATTAATTAAGATTTCTTCTAGATTCTAGCTAGACTAATCTAGACTAGACTGAAATCTAGAATATTCTAGAATCTCTAGTTAGACTAATGGTAATCTATCGTTTTGGGTACGTAAAATCGCCCGCGATTTGTAATGTGAAAAACAGGTGACTCCTTAAATTTTAATAATTATTTCACATTTTGAGGAGGATTTATGTTTTAAAAATTCAAAAATGTTTCCTTGATTCATTTATGTACCTGTTTTTAAACAATTGAATTAAAACTTTTCCGTAATAAATGAAGACTAGCGATGTTTCCAACAGATGCAACCATGCTCATTTACTATAGCAGCCATCTTGTCTAAGTTTTATTTTTATAAGCTTTAGCGCCAGATTCAGGGGGAAGCCACTCTATTTTACAAATGGCTGCTGTTTATATAGCAAATCTTGCTCTCAGACACTGCTGTTTAAAGTTAATTTCTGGCCTATATCGATATATTTAGCCATTGATTTAGGTTTATTATTCATTTATCTATAATATTTGACACAAAAGTATGACAATATACTATATACTATATACTTCTATTAATAAAGCCTTGACAATGAGGTAACGTTTTCGTACATAAATATTAAATAGCCGCGGGCGATTTTACGTACCCAAAACGATAGATTACCAAAGTCTAGTCTAAAGTAAACTTGTTTTGAAGTCAAGTTTAGATTCTAGATCTAGATATCTAGATCTAGACTAGAATCTAGATATCTAGTCTAGCTTAGTAGCTGCTTAGTAGCTAGTGTGTGGCTTGATCTAAAAAAAACTAAACTAGACTTAATCTGAATATTAATATTATTATTAATAATACAACACATGATCATCACCTACACTTAGCAACACCAAGAATGCAAACAGTGACAAGAGTAGCTGTAAGCATGACATTCACAAATTTCATTAACGCTAGATATTAGTATAGAAATCTACGTATTAGTTTATTATAACTAATTCAGTTGTCTAGTTCCAGCTGCATACATTTCTATTCAAATTTTCATTTTTAAAAGTTTAAATTTGTTGCACTTTTTAGCTTAAAAACTATGCCAGGATTTCATACAATTTTAAGGTGACTTTATATTATAAACATTTTAAAAGGACTAACACAGTCCTAACTAATCTAAATCCAATCTAGAATACTCTAGATCTAGATCAGTAGTTTTTAACCTGGGTTCTATCGAATCCCAGGGGTTGTGTGTTTGTCTCCGGGGTTTGGCGGAGGTCAAGACATACAGCCGACTTATACGATTCACGATCTGATTTGGTCAGAGCGTTGATAGAACTAGATTCTAAGTTTCGGAAGGGTTAGGTACCTCTAAAAAAATAATTAAGAACCACTGATCTAGCTGTCCATCTCTCACGCTAAAAAATTATCTAAAACAAAATGCAATATAATTGATCCATGTATAATGTATAAATCTACCTGGTCCAAGATATAAAAAAGATAAATGGTTAATGGTTGATACAGTTAAAATGACCGGTTAATTATAAAACTTGTAATTAAATTAGTCATGTTGATTTCAGCAATCTCCAGATGTCAACAAAATAAACAATTCGCACTTTCATTTGATTGTGTGTGTGTGTATCCCTAATCAGGGGCGTAGCGAGGGGGGGGGGGGGGGCGGGGGGTGCGGACCGCACCGGGTGACACCATTTAGGGGGGGGGTGACACCAAGGCAAAAAAATAGCAACATATGTGGAGAAAAAGTTGAGGGGGGGGGGGCGTGCAAATCGAAAGTTTGAGGGGGGGGGGGGTGCAAATTGAAAACTTGAGGGGGGGGGGGTGCAAATCGAAAGTTTGCGGGGGGGGGGTGCAAATCGAAAATTTGAAAGTTTGTCCCCGGGAAGGGGACCATTAAGTGCCGCACCGGGTGACACCCGAACTCGCTACGCCACTGTCCCTAATGCAAGCTTATTAAGCTTATACTTTCCAGTATGTTGTACTTTAAACATGAACTGCTTCTTAATTAATTTTTATTTTAAATGCAAGCTAAAAAATTGAAAAACATCTGCATCCACGTTTAATTAAAGTACTCGATTAGCCTGCAATTTTGAGAGAATGCACTTTAATTAAAATCAATATATTTTGTGCATGGGTTCGGGGAGAAACTATGCCGCAATTTATAATCAGAGTATATAAATAGTAGCTGCAGTGAGGTTAATGCTGTGTTTCTTCCAGACTTTTTTCTCCGGGGGGGGGGGCGGACACTGTTAAAAGTATATATTTTCTATATAATTTTCATTTCGTTCGGGGGGCGGTAGGCTTTCCTCGGGGGGGGGGGGGGGGGTACTAAGCCTTACACTCATACGGAACCCCTTTACCAAATGTTCGGTTGTCTGTTCTCAAATCGCCTAGGTTTAATTCTTCTTCTTCTTCTTCGTTCTTAATTATTAGTGTTGAAGGGGATCGAGATTTATCTGCCAGTGGGTTTGAACTCGAGACTTTTGTTCGAATTTATCAACCATGAGCTTTTTGCCGACTCGACCACACCTCTAACACAATTAAGCGTTACGTGTCAACTGGTTATGCGCCATTGAGGCCATTGACTCCGATTTCAGCCTGCTTTTCTTTTTGGATTTGCTTCCATAACCTTTGTCCAACCAAGAACAAACTACAAGGCAGCAGTTGTTTAATTTTGGAGTTGTCTCTCCTAGAAGAGTGGCTGTCCCCAGCTAACGAGCCTCATCTGCCCGAGGGTTCGAACTCGAGACTTTTCGGTTTAGCAACCATGAGCTTTACCGACTCGACCACGCCGACCCCTTAGGTTTAATTCATTGAGACATCTCTCCGGGTGGAGGAACTAGGGGGGGGGGGGGGTCATGCTAGGGAGAACCCTAGGACAAAATAGAAAAATATGATTATTTATAAATGTATATGCCTACATCAACCAGTGTCGCTCCGGGAAATTTTAAGTGCCCCCCCCCGAAGTTTCAAATCCCCCCCCCCCCCCGCCGAGAAGAAAAAGCACCCCCTTGTTTTAAAAAAAAATATTGAAACAATTTTAACATTAAAAATAAATTTTAAATGATATTCTATAAATAATTACAGTTATCAACGAACATGCCTACAATTCAATAGAATTTTAAAGTACGACCTGACCGCGAAAATTAAATTTGTAGCTCTGCCGTCAAATTTATCCGATTCTTAACTATTATTAAACATGTTCATAGATCGATAGTTAATTTACAGCGTTGTAAGAGAAAAACAACTTTTTTATTTCTTAGCTTTTTAAAAATTTCGTTATAGAGGAGAGAAAATATATTGATAATTGTAGGATTTCCTTCCACGACTTCTATAGGTCTAGGGCCTAGGCATGTGTGGACTAAATTCATTTGCATAAAAATATACCATATAGACTATAGTTTTTTAAAAGAATCAACACAAACAGTAAAAACTCTTGCATTTATTAAAGAAATCAATGTACAATTTTTGCTTTTTTAGGGGGAAGTCATGGTTGAAAAAAAAAGTAATTTAACAATT